ACTAAGGCTGCATTGATAAATAGTTAATAAAAGGTTAATGAATCATTAATAGAGGCATAAAAAATGGTGAATTGGTTGGTTATCTTTATTCCATCAAAGCAATGGGTTGCTTAGCACCAGCTGTAACTTCAAGTTTGTAATAACCTTAAAAATCTGTTCATCATGTATTAATTTTTTACCAAATGCAACTTTAACATACAGTGTAACTAAGAATTTGAAGAAAGTTTAAAGCAACAGATTTAGCTAAAAGTTAAAAGGGGCCAAGAAGGACAGCTGACAGGGAGAATCCAAGAGGCAAGATACCTCTTTATAGCAGCAAGGCCCTCAGATTGCATTTATTGATAGAAATCTGTCCAGCGTGGCTCTTTCTCCTCCCTGCTTCTCAGGCTCTCTGTCATGATGTGGGTGAAGTTCTGGCACTGCAGCTGCACCTAGGTCTTTATGGACTCTAATGCCAGAGCAGGGGGAGAAAAACACCAAGATTGTTGCTTTCTTCTTCTGCCTCTTTGTGGATCCGTCAGCTGCAAGATCCAGTAAGGGTAGCCTTTGGCCAACAGAGATCTGTGAAACTATGGAACAGGAAAACAGGCTGGAAAAGGTCTTAGAGATCTCATCATCTCCTGCACCTCCCTGTCCCAGTGCAGGAATCAGTTCTTCCTGCTCCTTTCCTGACTGATGTGTGCTAATCTGGTCTTAAATGTGTTCCTCCAAAGAGGGAGCCTGTGTAGTTCCCCAAGCAATCTATGTCAGTGCTGGCATAGTCTTTACCATTTTCTTGCGTCTAACTGGAATCTCTCTGGCTGCGGTTTAAGTTCGTATCCACCATAAAACTGGAGAGCAGATTATTCTCTCCTTTTGCAGCAGCCCTTTCTGTAATTGAAGGCTGTTCTCATGTCTCCCCTCAATTCTCCCAAGGGAAGTAGCGTGAGCCCTATATCTTGGGAGACTTCAAATTAGATCAGGCTAAGCACTTTAACGTGCGCTGGAGGAAGGGAAGCTGCCTCAGTAGAGACATAGAGCATACGGTCTAGCTGCTTTTTTTCCAAATGACCTCTTAGAGCCTGGCCCAGTGCTTTTATCTGTATTTAAAAACACTGCACACACTTTCTTGTGAATGAGAAGGAAATGATGGAAAATGAAATACGCAGAAAGGAAATAAATCTTGAAAGAGGCAATTAATTTTAGGGACTGGTTTTGTAAAGCTATTTTACCATCTGCCCCATATCCCCTGTGCTCAGTTCCCCCACTTTGACCTGTTCCTTGGAAATATGCAAGCCTAAATCCTTCTTCGGTCCTCTCTTTTCATTTAAATCCTCATTTGGCCTTGAACCTCTGCAGCCCTTGAACAGTTTGCTCAGACAAGCTGTATTTTTGGTGATTTGTTAGACCTCTTCTGCATGTGTACTTCTTAGTTACTTACCTGAGGGCTTTTACAGCTAAAAAAAGCAGCCTTAGCTGAAGAGACGAGCGTGCCTAGCCCTAATAAATAAAACACGTGGGTTCAATTAAAACAATGTTTAAATAATTTTCAGAAAGGAGGATGCTTGATGTTACTACATCAGAGGACCACAGTGACTTTTAAGCCAACAAACTGTGCAGGTTTACTTTTTCATTTAATCTCCAGGTCTATAAAAAATGCATACTTCCATAGCAGTCATCTTCCCACTCCTACAGTTAACATGATTTTGGAATTATTTTAAGTCCAAACCATGTGAAAATAAATCCTAACTCGATTTTGTGGGCTTACTTTGTTTCCATTAAATTCCTCTTTAAAACATTTCATATGCTCGGTTTTATTATTGCTACTTCCAGGAATTTCTAAATACTTCCAAATTTGGATTGATAAAACTTTTAAAACTTTTCCTAGAAAGAAAAAATGAGTGCAATTCTCTACTTTCTTTTCCAGGTATTTATTTACAATCTGAGGCATTTATATGTATACCTTAACAGATGCACACACAATGCTCACATTTCAAATAAGTGATTCTTTACAGTCATCCCATATTAGAAGGGAGATACATCAGATGTCACATATGAAACAGAATAGAGTTTATCAGGTACTTAAAAATGAGGGACCACCAAAAAAATCATGGCATTGCAAAGAACAGTGGAGTCATGTGGATGGTTAAACGAATGACATCTTTCTCCCCGGCCCTGATTCCCCAAAGCGATGAGCATGTGCTTTAGGAGCAGGGTGGCGGAGGCGGGCGGTTAAGAATGCAGTCGTGTCTCGGCAGAGCGCGGGGCTGAGGTTGTGACCATCACTGGCAGCAGCTTGAGGCCGGTTTTGCACGTTGTGCTGCAGCTCAGCGGTGCCGGGGTGAGCGCGGTGCGCAGCCGAGCGGCTCTCTGAGCGGGCCCGGGGCTGCTGCCCGTACGTTATGAAGTGACGTTTTTCAAATGAGCTGTAGATTCAAAGCTTTCTCTGTGGCCATTCAGGGTTCTTTGGTCAACAGCGCTGCGGCATCTGTCCCTAGCTAGGTGTAGGTGTGTTATTGTGATAACTGCGTACCGCCTTGCCACTTCCACACGTATGGTATTTCTCAATATGCTGAGCTTTAAGCCCTTGTGTTGTTTGGCAGGTGTGATCCTATCTGGAACTTTCTACCCACTAATATGTACTTCAGCAATAAATAAGTGAAAAGATGCTTCTATCATACTGAGCTTATACCTTTGTCATGCACTTTGACGCTCAGAAGGACATTTTATAAAAGCATGAACTGGGTAGTCCTAGCCTCATTGAAGTTGACTTTTGCCATTGACCTCAGTGGAGTCAGGATTTCTTATGCTGTAATTGAATTTCTTCAAATAATAGCACACTCATTCTTCCTTTTCCAGGGATTTTATGTGTGGGTGTCCCCTAACAAAATGAGGAGGTTTGCTTGCAATTCGGCCCACTGAGTTGGTATTGAGGACACTGGATGCATTTGGACGATGAATTTTCAGCAATATTGGTTCAGGATGTTTGCTGGCATCCCCTTCCCATGAATCCTGAGGTCTCTGTCCAGCCTTTTCTGCCTGGGCAGGCAGAGACTGAGGTTAAGCCTCTAATTGTGGTCCTAGTATATGGTTCGTTGCTGCCTTCAATCCATCTGTCTATCTGTCCGTCTTCTAATTACATGATATAGTCTCTGTTTCATCGTTTTGCTATGAAAAAATTTGCCACAAAGCAACCTCTGTGGCATAAGAGCTGGCACAGGCATAGAGGATTTGGGTTACATTATCTCACAGAAAAGCTGACTAGAGCTTTTTTCCCCTTCCTCTGTGCTGCAGTCCAACGACTAGCGCAGTATGATGTCGGCGTACTGGGCTGCCGCCGCTGCACCCCCAGGAAGGACAGGCTGCTCATGGCCATCTCTTCCCTCTCGTCACCGCCTTTTGGGGCTTGGGCAGCTAGGAGAGGTCCGAGCTCTACGGGCTGACACCTGAAGCTGTTACAGGAGTGTGGAGACTTGTGTCCTACTCTCCTTGGCTCAAGCAGCCAGCGAAGCTCACCCCCAGCTGCAACAGCTGTAGCTCCATGGCCTGTTAGATAAGGGCAGAGACTAGCTGACTGCATCTTCAATGAAATACATATTAGCAGCGAGTTGTAGCCACTCAAGCCATGTCTTAGCCCTGATGCACCCACCACACTACTCTTTTCACAAGGCCCATATTATATTTAATTATAGGATGTTGTATTTTCACTTGTGCAGCATTACCAGTGGCAGTCAGGGTACCTACAGAAACCTGTGTACTCATAAGCTTTGTTATGAGCCGCCCTGGGCTTTGAGGAGTGTGTAGCTGCTGCTAGGGCATTCATTCTGATGCAGTCAGTATCAGGCCATACCATGCAAACCTTCCCAGATCAGACTCTCTCTTTCTTTGTGTCCCTTGTCTCATAAAAAAGTCTTTTCCGAGCTTTGTAAACAAAGAAAAACAACCAAGACAAAGATATAACAGATCGCCAGAGACAAGTATTACTGCCTGTCTGAATATTTATTAAATTAAAAACAAAGATAAGAGAGAATGGAGCAGCATCTACCATAAAATATACTCATTACAAGGGCATTTACAGGCTTTGCCTAAAACAACACTTTTGCAGTATCTCTATATT